TTGTCATGGTTGCTAAGAGAGAATATTCTTACATCGCTGCTGTTGAATGTACCAAAATGTACAATTGCTATCATACTTTCTAATATTCTGCGAAGACGCTTTTTCTTTCAGCTTGACCTGACCATTTGTAACCTCGCGACCAGAATTAATTTATACACAAAGATATTTTATGACCTATATAATATCTTTGTTTATAAAATTTTTCATTGAGTTAAGAATAAGGGGTTTTTGAATATAAAGAGAACTGTTTATTACGTTAATACGACGTTGCAATTTAAATGAATTCTTATGAAAAATAACAAGAGGCTGATTGCTGAAATAATATTCACATTTTATTTTCCGATCAATAGCCATAAAATTGCGTTTTTAATTCTTTATTTACTTTAACGTATGCAGCTGAATGAGTATTTTATATCTGAATCGCAAAAGCATAACCAAGTGTTTATGAGGCGGCCGAGAACTTTTACGATTCCGCAGGTACACAGTGTAAGACGCAAACAAGCTTCGTGTATTTTTCTTAAAGAAATAAAACATTTTATGTAGCATAACACTGTATGACTCAATTTTATTTATTATGACTTGGAAAGACAAACATACTCGTATTCTAAATTTGTGTAAACAAAAAAGCTTAAGAGCCAGTGGGCGGCAGACTTACGGTGTTTCAATGAGCTTCACGTTTTTATTTTTCAGTTAATCCCCTATACATGAGGTACACGAAAACGCAACTCTTTAGTTTGACTGGCGGTCGATATAGAGACGCCCAGATGTTAACGGTGTAAAAAAATGACAAAAAAAAACTCATAGTAATAAGTCTGACGCTTTGACATCTCGAAACATTCAATAAAAGTTACCGAAAAATTGCATTGGCAGATACCTATGATGGTCTCAACGTCATGGCAAACAGCTTGAAAGTACTAGATTTTATTAATAATTTACGTTATTTAAATAAAGCTGCAATTTCTTTTGCTTGCAATTTTGTATCAAATCATTTTACCTTAAATAAAATAAATAACAATTGAAATAGTATGATCTTCCATCACCGTCATCTTGATAACAAAAGTCTATAGTCAATACTTAGTATTGTAAGAATTTTCAGTTAAAGTTTTACAAACCATCAAAGACCTACATGGTTTAGTATAGTATATCCCTTTGTAGTTTCAGCAATGTCACCGTGATATAAGGTAGACGCATTGCGAGTTATTACCCTCTGGGCTTCCTTTTGTTTACGTTATATGCTCGTTTTTTATTGCTTTTTCAAATATTTTGTATGTTTCTCCCCGAGAATAGTGCCAGGTGTCGTGGCTGGTAATAAAAACTTCTTAAATAATATGTCAGCTACAAATACATTTAAATTGTTATGTATTTAAATTTTAAAATATAAGTAAATTAATGATCGTGTTAGTAGGTCCTTATTAATTCGTTGACCTTGGCATACAAATTATTTAGCTTTAATTTATTTAGAGCAAACCGTGGACTTCAATATAATTTAAATAAATAATATTATGAAGATGACTATATCCATTTGCGGTAACACTAACAAATTACATTAGTTCCCTTGCTAAACGTATAACCACGTTTTAAGACGGTATTTCAAAATTAAATAACAGATTCATAGCAATAGTTAATGCAAAAGAGAATTAAAAATGAACGGGGAAATTTAGGCCATGAAACGACTACTATTTAAGGAGCCGCTTACAAAATTTAATATCAACCGTTCCCAATGATTTCAGTTTAAATTTTTTGAAGGGTAGCAATTTTTTTATTCTGTGCTTGTGTTTAACATTTTTACTGATAAAAACATTTCAGTCGAAAAATAAAAATTGTCACTTAATATCTCGACCCAAATAATATAATTTCGTTTCGAAACTTCAGGTTGTTTAAAATTAAGTTAAACGTGACGGTATATGGTAGTTTGCGTAATTTAGAACGCAATTGCACTGGTGCAATGAGCTTTATATATAATATATACTCGAAATATAGGTATGTATTAGTAACTTCTCAAACTCTACACTCAAACGTTGTTCGCGTATTAGAAAAAGTTTTTTAATATAACAAAATTTGAAAACTTACAATTTTTAAATTTGTTAAAATATTGATAGCTAGCCAGTGTCAAATACTAAAACTACCTAACAATTTTTCATGTTACAATCATCTGAATTAGGGTAAAAATGCGTTGCGACCTAAATCCGTTTTCCCACTTAGTATTTTCAGTGGGAAAGCGGAATTCAGGACATTTTTTTTTTTATTTTCGTCTGTCTCTTCCGGTTAATCATCGGAATGAGTGAACCGATTGTAATGTAACATCACAAACAGTTTGAGAGCAATATCAGGAGTGATCTGATATGTATCTTATCCAAAACCTTCGAGATTTTATTTGAGATATGATTTTTCACATCATAATATAAATCAGAATTTGAGTATAAAGTGTATTGCAAACAGTATCCGTTTTGCCATAAAAAACTACAATTCAGTGTATTACAAGGCAAGCCTAAACACATGTTCAAGGTTGATTTGCTGCATACTCTCTTGGAACCGCTGTCATCCTTTAACACCAGATGAAATCGTGTTCAAATGTAAGTTTATTAAAAATCCGAAAAAAAAAACATTTTATTAAACAAAATATTAATTGCTCTATTTAATCAGCGATATATAGTTTACCTCTGACCCTGTTATTGGTAATTAGCTTTTAAATTAGTTATCCGCGGGAACTAATTCTGTGTACGGATTCTTTTTTTTTTTTTTTAATTCATTCGTTAATTACAGTCCTTCACAAGTCTGCTGAACCTTTCCCAAGGAGCACCAAAAAGCACGATCCTATGTCACTTGATTCTTTATTAAGAATAAACTACACATATAATAAATCTATACATAAATTATTTGTTCACGATTCACGCGAAAACTTACTGACGGATTTACATGAAAGTTGGTGTGTTGCCAACTAATGATGGCATATATCATATAGACAACTTTTTATCCGTTTATGGAAGAATAAAAAATAAGGGTTATGTTATTCTTTTTTATTAAGTTTATTGTCATGGTTGTGGTGGTTTAATTAGTCAAAAAAGGATTTAGCTATACGTGCTACATATTTTAAGCCAGAATAACGTCTGCTGGGCCAGCTAGTTAAGAATAAATTAGTTAAATCGTTGAAGTAGTGTGACTTTTTTGACTGTGGTACATCCATCCCTCCATCATAGTCTATAAAATCCCACAGCTGAACGTAGGTTTCTCCTTAGATTACCCCATAAGAGGAATATTCGCCATAGTCACCACGGTTTTTAATTTTCTTGTTGTTAATAGGAGTACGTTGCTTCCAATCTTCTTCTCTGTTTTCGTCTGTAGTCCCGTACTTCTAGTACTTCGCGTACACGGTAAAATATGGAGTATTGGATTTTCTTACACCGCCACCACAAGGCTTACACTCCTCTTCTACAAGAACTCTAGTTCAACTGAATACAATAACTTTAAGAGTTGAACTATTTAAACGAAATAGGTGAAAAGTATGAAGTATTATCAAGATATTTTTTATCGAATAGGATGACAAACGAGCACACAGTCCACCTAATGGTAAGTGGTTGCTATGGCACATAGACATCTACATCTATCCTCGATCACGAATCAAAATGCAGATTATTTGTCACCCGTGAGGGCTAAGTTGAAATGCCTTGTTTCCAATAAAAAGGGTCTCCGGTTCTCTACACTCACCATACGAAACCCAACAGCATTAAGCTACTATTTTACGCTGGTATTCTGTGAGAGCGTGGTCCTTCCCTGGTCGAGCCGACCCAGTAGTGATCCACTTATACTACCAATATAACTGCAGCATGGCTCTACCACGTATAAAATGTATACGTAAAATGTAGATGTGTATTGACCACTGCATCCACTTACTATCAGGTGAACTGTGTGCCCATTTATCAACCTTACTTGTAGCCATTTGCGTTAACTTTCTTGAAAACACATTACTATAATTTATCAAATTTTATACTACTACCCTTCCACATTGTACGATAAATACGACCATACGTTACGCATCGCTTTTGTGGTGAAAAACTTCAGTTGAAATCTCGAGACGCGGGATTGCTCCCTTTACCTTATGCTACATTTGAATACGGTGCTTTAGTGAATGGCTAGATTTATGTTCGACGCGACACCTTGCTTTCTCAAATTTATGGTCGACATTTGAAAATGCACATTTTGTGTATATCTTTTCATCGAAAAGAGGTTCACTCAGTCTCAATTCCATATAACGTTGTAAATAAACAGGCTGTCATCATCCATTTTTATAATTTCAAAATTAAATGAAATACTGGATGGTTGAAAATGAAACTCCCTATCTTTCTTTGGTTGTAAACTTTATCAGCTTCAGCCAAATTCATGTAATCTTATGTAATTTTTTTTCTTTCTGGATTGGGAATTAGGTAAAACATCATATCTCAAGGGAGATTGTCAACGCAAGAGCGAGCGTAATTGCCTCTCGCTACGAAGTGTGGCAATCAATAGTGGAAGTGCAAATATGGTGGCGGAATTTAAACCGACATCATGCTGTTTTGGATCCAAAAACCATTAAAAACTGTAATTCAAAGTTGGTGAAAACTGGATCAGTGGCAGATTGTAAAAGAACCTGTCGTCCTTCAACATCAAAATCAGAAGAAAATATTAAGATTATTCGAGGCATGTTCACAAGAAGCCCCTACAAGTCAACACGTCAGACTTACACGGCACACTGTAATAACAGCACTTAAGTTTCTCAGCTTTCGTTCTTGGAAGCCACATAACTGCCATGAAATAACTCCCGAGGACTGTGATCGCTGGATGGAATACGGAGAGATCATGCTTGGATGGCATGGAGATAGGTCAGAACTGTTTGCAAACGTTGTCAGGACTGACGTGATAATATTATCTGGACTGACGAAGCAATTTTTCATGTTTGGGGCTTTGTTAATCATCATAACTCTCATTATTGGGCAGAGTTTGACCCCAAAATAACTGCTCAGAAAATGCAAATACAATGCCTTTCCAAGGTAACAGTTTGGTGTGGTATGACACCATGTCAAGTTATTGGCCCTTTTCTTTTGGAGGAAACAATGAATGGAGAGCGCTGTCTCAACATGCTCGAAAACAGAGTTTGGCCAGCTTTGTCAACGTTTGATAACATTGAAAATATGATATTTATGCAAGATAGAGCTCCACCACACTTTACATCGAATGTCCGACAGTGGCTGGATAACCGCTTTCCAGGGCGTTGGTTAGGTCTTCGCGGACCACACGAATGGCCTGCTCGTAGCCCGGACCTCACGCCTGGCGATTTTTTCCTGTGGGGTTGGGCAAACGATGACGTCTATCGCTCAGAACCTCGCACTCTTGATGACCTGGAAGTAAGAATTCAGCAAGGGCTAACAAATGTACCTCAACACTTGCTACAAAAGTTCGTAGCGGATATTCCAAGACGTTTGCAAAACTGGTAGAAAATGCAGGCTCACATTATACAGTTTTATTTGCTAAGTGGTTTGACAAAATAATGAAAAAAAATAAAATCTTATAATCAATTAAAGATAAGGAGTTTCTTTTCAACCATCCTGTACATGCATTTAATATTTTCTATCTATACATTTAAATGAAATTGAGGTGTGTATAATCCAAATAACTACCTTTTATTGAGCTGATAATGATTAGCATGCCATTAAGTCTTTTTTTAAATTCTTTTCTGTCTATGTAGGCTAATTAAAAACTAAATAATTCGAAATGGCTGAACCGATTCTTATCAAAGTTTACGAACAGATACAGTGCAATGTCAGCAGTGATCTAAGATATACTTTATCTTAGAGATTAGGCAAAGCTGGGGGTATTGCTAAAACTAAATATAATTGGTTCAAGCAAAATAAACTATTAAAGATTATTTAGTTTTAAAAATTATAACTAATTTATTAATAACTTACTATAGCTTATTTTGCTACCTTTTATAGATTTTTTTTACATTCATCCTTAAGTAATTTATTCATTTATTATATCGTTTGAACCAAAACCAAGATATATCTATTTTTGGGTCAGCTCGACCTGGGAAGCTCAGACAGAATACCAGCGTAAAATAGCAGCTTAATACTGCTGTGTTTCGTGTTGTGAGTGTAAAGATCCGGAGACCCTTTTTTACTGGAAACGACGCATTCCATCTTAGTCCTCAGGGGTTACAACGCATCTGCGTTTTGATTTTTAATCGAGGATAAATCTACTTACCATCAGGTGGACTGTGTGCTCGTTTGTCACCCTTATTCTATAAAAAGAATTTGATTGTAATAACGTTAATAAAGGAGATAACATTTATATTCCAAGTCCCGTTTATTACTGTCCTAAATTTATAATAGTTATTAGATTAAACACTACACCTCCCACGGCATTTTGAAAAAGATGTAATTTATACCATTTTCTTTTGCTTACTAATCTTTACTAATACCAGATAAACTGGGTATAGAAATAAAATTAATAACTATATCAAATTAATATTTTGTTCAAAAAAAAACCAATACAGATGGAACTTAACTTTTCTAATTTAAATTGTTGGTCCGGAAGTTGTTCAAAATGTGAAGTGGTTTACAAATTGTAGAAAGAAAATTGTATCTTAGTATGGAACGTTCTAAGCCACTTAAAATACTGTAAAATAATTTACGATCTTAAAATGAAATAATAATATATTAATAAAAATTACAAAAAGAAATTAACTAAAATACGTAATAAAATAGCGCTGTTCCCAGTTAAGTATATGTCTATTTAGATCGATCTTCAAAAACAAAGTAATTCTTGTTTCTTTTCTTTTTGTCAAGTCAGTGAAGAATTCGAAACTTTAAAATAAAATCGCGACTCTTTTCAACACAATATCTATTTGCAATGCATTTGCAATGCCGGTATTATATTTCATTTATTTGATATATTTGAACACTTACATTTTATTCAATTTATTTCATTATCCTATAAAAAATATAAAAAATTATATCTTCTCTATTGATATTCTTCTTATCCGGAGTGAAAAAAGTAATTTTATTTATGCTCTTTTCTCATCTCGAGTCTTCTTTAGCTGCCTCTTGGCCTTATGATTTTGTATTTCTTATGTTTCTCATTTTATTTACAAATTATGATACAGCTTTTTGATGGCTCTACACAACTTTTTCAATTAATTTCGTCAATCCGGTGTGTAACAATTTCTAATTAATGATTTCTTATATATTTATTATGAGTTTATTGTCGGTGACCAGCCGGTGCATGCGGCAAACAGATTCGTGCGCGCATCGTCTGGTAGAGTCGCCATGTAATGATGTTATTAAAGGAAACAAGCTTTATGTTCCAAGTTCTGTTTATTACTGCCTTAAGTTTATAATAGTTATTACATTAATGGATATCGTGAGCTACACTACAAGATGATCCATACCATGTGGATAACTGGCGGTCTACCATTGTGCGATTTAAAAGAAGTTTTCCTTGCTCGCACAACTTTCTTGTAGAATTGGGTACCACCAGAGATTTTTCCAGACCGATACACCTTGGGGACCTTCAAGAAAAGAGCCTACTCCTTTTTAAAAGGCCGGAAATCTCAATTCCCTGTATTGAAATTAGAAAAGAGCCTACTCCTTCTTAAAAGGCCGACGATTCATCTGCAATTCCGCTGGTGTTGCAGTGGTTCATGGGAGGCGGTAATCACTTACCATCAGGTGAATACAGCTCATATCCTATAAAAAATCATATTCATCTCTGGGATATTCTTTAGAATTATCTTTATATTATAGCAGATCACGATGTGTTTATACTATGTTTATAAATATTTTATATATATATTTATGACATGTAAATAGGCACAATACAAAAATATAAAAAAATCTTTTATTGATATCAAAATCACTTCGCAAAAACAAACCCCAGTGAAGAACCGGAAAGCAACTCTGGGATTTTTTGCTGCTAATTTATTATTGTGATAAGTCAAATCTATATTACTATTAATCATATATACAAAACAATATACGCAGGACGCAGTATTTGTCGATCGTTAGGCCTTATTTTCTCACTCTTTCTCTCTCACCTCTGTTATCAATTGATGGTGAATTTATAATGTTTACGCTTTTATAACGATTGACAATTGCACTAGATTCTTTGTACACTATGCGTTAGCAGGTATAAAGTATCTAATATTTCCCCTCGTCTCCGGTTTTGATACTCAACGTCCAGCAATTCAATGGTTGACAATATATGTCATCATCAAAATCATCATCATCATCATTAAAGGCTATCTCCCCTATAGATTACATCATAAAGGGGATTTGCCATGGTCACCACGCTTGTCAGTTGGGTTGCCAACCACAATTTATATTATTTTCAGTCGTTATCTATTTCAGTTTCCCTCTATCTCCTCTTATGCTAGAACTAATATACAATATAATATTTATACTGAGCAAAAATACTGGTAAACATAAATAATATGCCCCCATTTAGAAGATTTCGCAACGTCACTGTAACAAAAGGTATTCGTGCCACAAGTTATGCCCCTCTAAGCTTTCTTTTGTTCAAGCAATAGGCTCGTTTTTATGACTCTTTATATTTTCTCATCATATTTTCTCTCTAACAGTGATACCCAGGTGTTGTATGCAGTAAATACCATTATATAGATGGTAAGTCCTTAAAAATGCTAAATAACAAGTTATATTATTTGAAAATATTTCTAACATGAATCAATTAAAGCATTACTATTATACCAGAAATAATACAACCATATTCAAAATAATAGGCATTGTATTTCAGTTAATACAGTTTCACTTTCATATGTGAATTTTTTGGGACATTTCTTGGGAGAGGCATAGGTTCTGCATTTAACACGTGAAGGGCTGTACTGAATGATGACGACGATGTGAAAAATCCTTAATGCTACAATTTAAAATTTTATTCCTAGTATTATAACCTGTATTATTAAAGTGCTACTTTAATAAACAACTGAAACTTACAAGCAAAAGTTTAATTCATATTCAACAAGAATTAATGGTAAGTAAGTATAATATTATATCTACTTGAGAGAGTCGGCGGATACTTAATGGAAAGAAAACTCTGCCATAACGATGAAATTTAAAACGTAACGGTTGTATCGGCTGTATCGAGATGAAATCCAAATGTTATCTTATAAAATACTAAACAAGATTGACTTCATTAGGTAAATATATTTCAAGTTATGACTTAAGAAATTTATTTCTGCACTTTAAGCAGCTTACAGAAATCGAGGTATTGAAAGAAAATGTAAATATATAATAAAAAAACTGCAATAGAGCAAGAAGTGAAAAAATAATTTCGTTTTAGTACTAAATTCCAAGCACTAAAATGACAGTATTCTTGAATTTTTTTTAAACTATAGAAAGATATCATATGGGACATCGATCATTTCTATATATTCTACGTTCAACTACTTTTATATATTTATAGCTTGCATGAATGATTTCTTATGTTTACGCGAATACTACACATTCAAATAAAACTAGTTTTATTTTATCGCGTATGTTAACTTATTTTATATTCCCGACATTTCGAGTACTTTATAGCAGCCATGGTCACGGAGGACTGAGGTGTTCGACACCTAATGTCAGTAGTTAACCTACTTTAGGTTCTTCTTCTAGGACTACTTTCAGCAGTTTCACACATTTACTGTGACATAGGCGTGGGACCCGAAGCTTGTTATTGGCAAAACTTGCTTGACGTGTTGGAGTGCTTACAAAACCCGTAGTGCTTCCTGAAATAAAAATAAAATCCGTAGACACCTAATTTTATTTCAGCTTGCCTGAATGTAATAGAAAAATAATTTTACATTAAAGCAACTAAAGCTTAACCAGCCATCGAATAAAAAAGTCCTCTTTGGTAAATAAAAACTCTGAATATTATGATACATCACGGTGTATTATGTTCTCATGCCTTTTTTCTTTTTATTTCTTTTTTTTTTAAATTATTTGTAGGCCATACAAATACTTGTTCCGCGCGGTATTCGAACCCAGCGCAGATACTAATTGCTTAGCCACTGCGCCACGGAGTCGTCAAACTCCAATATATTAGATGAAATATATTTAAATTATATAGTCACGTATATGTTTATTCCTGTATATGAGCCGAGAACTGATAACGAATTTTGGCCAAGTATGCATTTTAGGCGCTCTAAAATTATGGATTAATTCCACAAACAAAATTTTAGCCCCACGAAAATGATCGGGCATTTTCATTTTTCGTACCTGCTGTTTCGGATCTATGATTTTAGTAATAATATTGCTATAAAATTATTATTAAAATAATCATATTGTAAAAACATTAATCTAAAACTTATTTATAACACACAAAATCGAAACTCCATATTATCAAAATTTTATAATTTTTTAATTCATTTTCAGATTTTAGACTATTGAGTATAAAATTACATAAAAGTATTATAATTTATACGACCAAGCGAAGAAGTCAA